AATAGTGTTTCAGGAATTCTTGTAGCTGGTACTGGCATATTCGGTTCAAATCTGACGCATCTTTATGGTCCACGTGGTGTATGGGTAGATGGTAATGGAGATTTATTTGTTGTAGATTCTGATAATCATCGTGTAGTGAAATGGTCAATGAATGCAACAAGTGGTATTCTTGTAGCTGGTGGATTTGGTCGAGGACCATTCTCAACTCAATTGAACAGTCCAACTGCAATTATCATGGATGGCTATGGTAACATGTTTATTCTCGATGCGGGTAATCAACGTATTCAACAATTTACACCTGGAAATAATGTTGGTATTACAATTTTTGATGGATCTTATAACAGTGGCTTCGGTTTGAATGCTCAGAGTATGGGAATGGATTCATTTGGAAATCTATACGTTGCTGATTTTAATAGTATGCGCATTCAAAAGATCAATCTTGTATCAAGTAGTTTATGTACAGGTATGTTATGTGATGGATAATGAAATGCAATTGTAAGTATGGTTCCATTGTAGGCATTACAACGACTGCTGCACTTACAATCGCAAGTAAGGATGTTTTTTCCTTTTCTTTCGAATGTGACAGAGCTACTTGAATCATTATTTATGGATTTCGGAAAACTTGTACTTTGGAAGAGGTTTCATTTCTGGAAAAACTGAAAAATAAAACTGTGAATGTAGCTTGTTAAGTAGATTGTTAATGAGTTATACTATTATTCCGATAGGATAATTCAAATTTTACAATGGAAGTATTTGTATTAGTACCAAGCTAGACTTGATGTTTTGGCATGAAATGAAAGATCTCGTCGCCAAACTAACAAGGTTAAAATATCAGTGACAACTGACTTGCATAAACGGAGATATTGAACTTTTAAGTATTGGTATAAAAACGAACTGTGGGAAAGGTTTTCTCTAATATTATTAGAATAAAGCACAATGTTGTTTGAGCCACATGAAAGAAGAACTCTACAAACGCTGTAAGCGGTTCGAATAACACTTCCTGTTGCCCTTATTAAAATGGAGTGAATTTTCCTAGTGGTTGATAGAAAAAACTATTTCCATGAGGTACAAGAAAGATTCACTCCACTATGATAAAGACAGAACATAGTGTTGTTCGAACCATATGAAAGAGGGTTCCTACAAAGCTTCCAGCCATCTCGAACAACACTATACTTTTCCCTTAAAATAGTGGAGAAAACATTTCCTGATTCATTTGTATGCCTATACTTAAAATTTAATTATCTCCGTCTAGGCAAGCCAATGGACGCTAATATTTTAACCGTTTTAGTTTGACGTTGAAAGCTTTCATTTGACCCAAACAAGGGCCATTTTTTCGACGAACGATGCAAGTACGTCCATTGTTACTGTGGAAAATCACGTTTTAGTTTCGCGAGATCAAAGTAATGTGTGGACAGGTTTAAGGGAGAAAAAGCGAGGCCTCATCTACTTCAAAAAAAATATTTGAAGTACAATTGAACTACGAGCGAAGTAAAACTGAAGTACAGTGAAGTACAGTAAGATATAATTAAATACACAGAAGACAGTCAAAGTATGGTGAAATTTAGATTTTTTTCCACAGTAGCATAATATCTTTGCATATGCATGGTATTCTTCAAAACTGGGCTATGCAATATTTCGTATTATCCATTTAACTAAATGTACGAGAAAGCAACAGCATTATAAATTGGATTTCCCTATTAGGCTCATTATAGCGCCAATAGTAACTTTCACACCTGATATACCTTATAAGTATCTTAAAAAGTTCTGTTGCTTTGTTTCTGATAATAAGCTTTCATATACAGGCCAGTGCACATAGTGTCATTAATTTGACTGTATGTACAGTCCTCACAGAAATATCATTTTATTGAATCAGATTCATTTATGAAATAGTTTAGTTTATCGTAAATTGCTGATCGATGAATTTAGTTTGAATAATTGAAAACAATACACAAAAGAAAATTAGTTGACTAAAAGGTTTCATTAAAATGACTGTATAATTTGTTTTAAGTTTCATAAAGAACAAGAAAATTTCATAATTTATGTTTCCTTGTAGAAAATGAAAACATGTTGTTTTTAGTTAAAATGAAACTGGAAAACAATATTTGTTCATATCTAATATTTTATAGTATAATGAAGAAGAAAAGTTAAAATCTTCGCTTTCTGAAACTACTCTCGACTTAAGGAAGTCTATTGACAGATAACTAAAAAAATTTCTTTTATCAGCGTTAGCATTTAATCTATCATGATAGGATTCAAATGAATGAAAATTGAGTGGGGGTATCCAATAGCAGTGTACGCAGTTATTAAAATCCGTGTGATAAGTCGCAGTTCATTTCTAAATTACTAAGAATTATTCAAAAACGTTTTCTAAATGTAAACAGTTAGCATTCATATATTATAATTATAAGTTAATTTTAAATTTACTAATCATGGCATATACAAAACATGAAGTTTGATTGTGTGGTCGTATATATTATTCTTGTACAGTTTTATTTTATCTTTGATTTTGAGGATTATGGTTATATGTAACAAAAGAATCTCGTAAGCTATTATCTAAGAAGAAAATGTTCAGAAACGCAAGATCTTTATCTGTAGTTTATGCAACACAGAAAATTTTTACTGTGAACCAATTCCTCAAATATGTCAATAAGCTCAATGTTCTTACTGAGTTAATAACCCCATTTGAGGTCTCAAATAATGAGCAGACAGTAATTTTTTCCATATACTGCAATGTTAAACTACTTATTATTCAACTAGGTTGAAAGATTAATAATGATAATATTAGTTTTGATATAGATAGTCTTGATGAATTGATTCTTCAAGAAAACCAATTGGCAGAAGAAATGATAATGTCTGTAGGAATGGGTTGTGACATAATTAAAAATAATCATTTCAACAAAGCAGAATCATCACAATTAGTCAAGCAATGTTAAAATCAAATAGTCTATCTGAATTAGAAAGACTTATTTTTCACGAATCTACTGAGTATGATACCTAAGGATGTGGGATGTGAGTGTCGACGTGTGTGGGTTAAGAAGAGTATACCCACACCCACACTCTGTCCAGAATATTGGCGATTAGTCGGAATTAATCGCTAGTATTCTAAAAGAACACGACTAATCGTGAACATTTGGGCAATTTTGACGACATGGGGAGACTTACTTCTGCTCTTCCATTTTTTGGTTTTTATGAGGAATAGAACAAAAGTACTGAAGCGTTCTTACTGTTCAAGAAGATATTCAAGAAAGTATCTTATTAAATATAATCAGTCGAAAAAAAATTCGAAAATCAACACCGTATGCAGGAAGCGTGCTTCTCTCTGATTCAGCCGTATCTTTTACATCCAAAAGAGTCACCTAAAAAAAGATTTGTTTTCAGTTGGCACAATATGAAGTCTGCCACTGAAGACAAAATTCTCAAACTATGTTGAATACTGATGTTTACGCTTTATAAGGTACAAAATATGCAAAAAGATAATCAAGGGGAAAAATTCATGTTTTTATTATGATTGACGCGATTAATAGAGCGTCACATTTTATTATAGACAGTATTCATGTTATCAGTTAGAGTACTTAGATTGTGATGCATATTCACACATCAAAATAGATCGTAATCAATTATATTATAAGATCCCTCATTAATGATATAAAAAGGTATTTCTATCGTTTTTGAGCAAATAAAGTGATCAGGAATTCGATAACAGGAATAAAGTTCAAAGAAACGGTACAGTTTGAAAGTATTTTATTACGTCTTGGATGCTAGAACTACGTATGTATTATTAACGGAATATTAGTGAAGTACGACCGAAGTACAGCTGAAGTACAAGTGAGCTACATGAAGTACGAAGTCTCGCTTTTCCCCCTTCGAGCAAGTTTCATTAAGGAGTTTCAATAGTTTATCGCTTTTTTCACTCAAATTGTTGAAATTCATAAAGCTACACATGACTGGATATTTTGAAGTAACCTTTTCTTTATGAAGAGCGGTGAGCTATTATGTTTTTCAAGCTTAAAATACATAGAATCGGGTTACTACCTATGAGATTTAATTATCATAAAGAACTTTTTCTGGATGTGTGGTATGACTAGAAAGCCGAGAACTTTTAACGATTTCATGGAGGATGGGCTATATTTTTGACTTTTTATCTGTGTTAAATAAAATTTTTCTATCTATAAAGTGCTCGCTGTAACTAATCTAGTTCTATTAGAATGCATTGAGTATTCTAATGCGTTGTTATTCCTAATAGAAAAATCATAAGTGTATTCCTTAAACTGTGCTGATCTGACTCGCATGGTTATTTACGGACCATATCGATCTACTTCTATCTGAAGCTCCTACAAGGCGTCAATAAAATCTGTAGCATACTGCTGTTTAGTAGTGCAGAAATCATCGATTTCCATATGCGATCAGATGTAAAATTGGAAGTCCTAGAAAACAGAGCAAAAGTTTTCCGACACCAAATTTTCTTGCTAATTTTCGTTGACTGACATCAACACGATTCATAGCAACATTTCGTAAACTTTTCAACTTGTTTCTATTAAAATATGGTGGATGACCAGCTCCTGAATGATGTTCAACTGGTAAAACAATTTCATAACGTTTTATTATATCATAAAGTGTTGATCTTTTAAAACCTTCTTGTTCAAAATGTTTCACTATATTAATTTTTTAAAATTTTTTGTTTTTGTCCAAGTACAGAAAACACACGTTTACGAAGATGGTTCATTTTGATAACAACAGTTCAATTAAAAGATGTCAAATTAATATGATAGATAGAGGGTATGACAAGCTATGTAATCAATTTATAAAGGGCTCCTCTCATACCTGTTATATATATATATGTTTCAGCTATAAACATTTTGTCTGCATAATTTTCGACCACCCGCTATTTTATTATCTGAAAATATGCCTGAAAGCAGAAAATATTAAAATTTAAATTTCCGCAAAGATGTATAGTCATCAGCTACTAACCTAAGCGTATATCTGCATGGAACTGTTATAAGTGGTTTCATTCTGTATGCTACGGATGAATCATTTCCAATGGAAATAGAATACAAGTTTGATGATCTTAACAGATAAACTGAAAATTTAGTCTATGCTACAAGTTGCGGTACGATTATTTGAGTAAATCTAGGTTATGGATAAATATTGATATCCATTTTAATATGTCGTCACAGTCACATTTCAAATCACATGATTAATATTTCATTTGATTAAGTACAAAGTCATCTAAAATAAATGAATAAATCCATCTTATCTGAAACAAAAAAGAATGAGCGTAGCTAAATTATTCGGAGGAGAAAAATTTGTGAATAAGTAACAAATATTTCCAATCGCAATAATTAAACCATTAAGAGTGCTCAGAGATATACAGCATTAATTTAATATATGTTTGACTTAGAGTTTTATGTATTAGAAGTTCAAAAATTAAATTGTAGCAACCATTAATATATAGTTATTAGAAAAATTAATTCTCGAGTAAAAAGCATTAAAGATAAGATATTAGTATATAAAGACGAGCTAAACAAAAAACTAACTGACTCAACGATGAACCTATTATTTATATGAGTGTCCATGAAATGCCATATATTCTCTAATTCTACTATTTTTAAAGAAAGAGTTCATGAGTGATCCTAAAATTGGTTCGTATTAATTCTTTCAATACACTTCAAGTTTTTGCCCTTTAAAGCTTTTCATTTTTTTTTGAAGGTAAAAGACACTTTCTTCCATTGAAAGTATTACAATTTAATGGCTAGGTTTTTGCTTAATCATGACTTCTCTTAAAACTAGTAAATTTTCTAACAACGCCGAATTATAGAATGTTGAAGAAATCAACCAACTAAAATTGTAAAAGTCTCTTATCGACAATGATAGGATGATTCATAAACAATCAAATTGCATTCAGTGTTAGACAAAGACATGAAAACTTACCGTCGTAACAATGTAGACTCTTGACTAACGTCAACAATGAAATTAGTGATATCTAGAATCATATCTTAAGTATTATCTTGAGTTAATAAAGCATCATGAGATTTACAATAGGTTGATAGTATTTCAAAAATGACTCACTTTGGAAGGAACAGCTTAAGATAGAATCATATTGCTTCAAAGAAGGTTTAGTACTAAAAGGCAGAGTGTGACAGAAATCTTTCCTAAATATTCGGAACAATTTCCTATTCGAGATGCTTTTTTTTAAGTAATGCAAAACTACGTAGGGTTCAGTTAAAAGTGAACTGAACCATAAAGACTTCTCTAACTTGTCCTATTTTTCTGCAGGATACCCAAAGGTATCTTTAAGAATAAAATGTGAAATAGGGCATATCAATTCAACAGAATATGTATGTCAGCACTCCAGATTTTCGGAGAGCAATTTTCAATAGTCGACAATGTATTGTGGATCCCTCTCACAATCACTAATTAGTATATTCAAGCATATACGACACTAAAAGACGGTGGAGAAGCATGAATGAAAAAGTCTACTATATATAGACTAATACTTCCTTTAAATTTGGTTCACAAAAAGATGTTCTCCGAATAAGTATCAAGTATGCTAAATTTTGTGGAACTCACATATATTTTCGAAGAAAATAGTGAGTATAAGTTTTAAGTCGAGGTTTCGCAGTTCCCCCTCTTTCCCCACCCCCCCCCCCCCACCCCACTACAAACACATAGTAACGGGAAAGAGAACATTACAGACATCACACCATTACAAGCCGAAGAAAACACGCTTAAAAGATTTCTGATTATATATAATATATATCAATGCTTTGATAAATATTCGAGAAAACCTATTTTGCAGTTTAAAAATCAGCTATGAGAGCAAGAGGTTTCAACTATGTACGTGAGTTTCACATTTTAGCTCCAATGGAGCTGCGCCAACAAGCTTTTTTCGGTGTCTTTAGAAGTTTGTTCTTTCAATATAATTTAGTTTTTTTCATTACAACACAACTACAAGGATTTCTGAAGAACTCACCCCGCCTATCACATTTGCAGCTACCTTTCACTAAATATAAATTAAAAGTACAATTAACACTTTAGAGTTTCATTGCAGATTCTCGCATATTTAAACAGGATAACATACCAATTCGCTTGTTTGTCGCACAACGATTATTTTTAGAGCCGTGCTTTATGGTTTAAGTATTCAAAAACTACATGAAAAGCACGTTTTTACGAGATACTTATAAAGCAAGCACTCCCTAATAAAATGAAAGCTCGGAGTTATGTAAGACAGTGTACGGGCTTATATCAGACTCAAAAGTGATATAACAAACCTTTTTTCACATTTATTAATGAGTTCTCCGGTAAATGTTCCAATACCGAAAATGGTTGATTCCGTTGATTTCTACTTATCAAAGTTTATCTATTTTTCTTAACTTACACTAAATTTTTCCACTTTAGCAACCGTTACACCATCACTTGGTAGTTGTTCAAAAGCCATCTACAACATAAATGCAAATACGATTGTTTCCAATCTCACAGGATATCCATATGGTGTAGCACTAGATACTTATAACAATATCTATGTCAGTGATTCTAGCATTCGTATCTACAAATTCTCAGGAAACACAACGTCCGCTACATCGGCTAACGTTATCATACCTATGACAAATCAAACAATTAACACTGGCGGTTCAACACTAAGTCAAATTGGTCTCATTAATGCACTTTTTATTGATCAAGCATCAAACAACATATACT